AGACTCTCAGAAGGAACAAACAATGAAGTATGAAGAAAAGCAGGACAGTATCGTAGTATGAAGCCATGTTAAGAAAACATTGAGAAGAAGGAATTAACAAGCTTTATAAAGGAAAAACTTAAATGAGAAAAGGTCAGCCAACTCAATTTTCCCTGCCTCCCTATCCTTCCTTTTCATTTCCATATCCACCCTTATGCCAAACGCTATGGCAGAGGTCTGTACCGAGGGCTGTGGGAATAGCAGGAGAGTGTACCTGTGCCTGAAAGAAGAGGACTGAGGAAAGGAAAAACGCTCACGGAAAACTCACGAAAGTGATGATGTCTGTGCACTCGGGAAAGCTGAGTAGAAGTCTGTCGTGAGCACAAGAAGGAAGAGAATACCAGGCAAACTGGTCAAGGGATGTATGGGCATCAAGACTTCAGTGTGGGAGACTGGCAGAGGATCAGGCTGCAGAGGTCAAGAGGACCAAAGCATGAACGACCTTGTGTGCCATGCCCGGAGTTGGAACCACTAAATGACTTCAAGCAATCGGGTTTCTGTTTCTGTTTCAAAGAGATCACTCTGCCGTAATGCAAATTCAACTGGCGGGGAATAAGGACTGACCGGGTGACAAGTTAGGAGCTGCTGGAAGGTCAGACCAGAAAACATGGGGGGTGGGGCACGGCAGAATAGAGAAGAGCAGATTCAAAAGACAGTTGACAAGTTAGGCTCTGAAAGTAAGGACAAAGAGAAAAGTGGGTAAGTCCCAAGTTTCTAGCTTTGAAAGCTGAATGGATACGCGTATGATTCCCCAAGATAAGGCATATAGAAGAGAATTAGATTTGGGGGGAGTAGGTGGTTTATTTTGGACATGGGTAGGGTGTTGCAATGTGGGACATCCAAGTAGAGACGTCAAATATGCAGAAAGAAATGTGGGCCGCGTAATGGAAATACAAAATTAGCCCTTGGTGGTATACTGGTGACAGTTCCAATGGGGGTCTGGAGGAGATGACCCAGAGAGAGAAGGGCAAGGGGATAAGGACACAATCTCGAGTAACACTAACATTTACGGCGCAGGTAAAGAATGGGACGCCAGCCGAGGAAACCAAGCAGAAGCTGTCTGTGAAGGAACTCAACTGGACGGCAATCTCCAGGTTAAAGGACTCCTCCTCCTCCCCGGGCAGCTCTGATGTAACCTCTAGCTTTCTAAGAGCAGCAGGGAATAGCTTCATAACTTGAAGTCTCTGCTCTAGCATCAGGCTGCAACCTGACAGGGAATGAAGACAGTAACTAAAACCAGACAGGGCACAAAGGCCGTGGCTACATTTAGGATGCTGAGTCAAATCAGTGTCAACTATAGTTCTATAACTGTAACTATATGATACAAATTGGTGACGGTATTACACTGAACAGATTGAATCGTACAAGGCCTGCAGCATGCAGCAACGGGAATGATTGCTGTGCTGAATACTCTCCTCTGAAGACAGGGAAGGAGAGAATCTCGCTGTTAAGGCCCCCCTCCTTAAGGAAGCCAACTTCACGCAACTGCTCAGGTTTTGGTGTCAAGGGCTGATTCCTGGCCGGGGGTTGCCAGCTGCAGAGGGCGGGGCTCTATTTTGGGCTGCTTGCTGTCCCTGAGCCTGGCCGCGTCTGGTTTGAGCAGCATGCAGCCCCAGTGACTCACACACCCATGCAAACCGCCTGTGGCTCAGTGGCATGGCCTCGGAATGCCAGCCTCAGGCCAGCTCCCTCCTCACCCCATTACACTGGGATAAATAAATAAAGAGCCCGCCAGCAGCCGCACAGCCTGATGGCAACCAGATGGAGAGGGGGAAGGCATGGACGCAGCCAGGGGAAGGAACTCCCTCCAGTGGACCAGAGTGAGAGAGGGCCATGCCAGCCCCATCCTCCTAAACTTCTCTCACACAGTTCCTGGGCCATGCAGTAATAGTCCCCGATTCCTTGACTCATCTCCCACTATGAATGGTGCCTCCCAGCCCCCAGTCCTAGGAGATGCTCTCTATGGGGAATCTTCCCTCTATGAAGATCATGCCAGAAGCCACTCCGCCCAGTCAACTCGAAGAACACTTCCAGGATGCCCCCTCCAGTCAGGCCACCATCAACTGGCCCCCTTGGGCTCCCTGGAAATGCGAAATCCAAGGCTCTAAGGGGGGGGAGATGAAAAAACAAAAGAAGTAAATATGAAGACGTAACCCCTGTTCAACCCTTAAATATTTTTCCTGGCCTTAGTATCCTAGAAACCTCCCTGTCCTACTGCCCTCCATGCCCTATCTCTGTGGCCTCTCGCCTAGAACCAGGAAAAACAGACCCCAGCACTGACCGCATGGCCCCTCTGACATCAGCCCTGGCCCCCCTGCACCTTTATCCTGGGCTCTCAGTCCCTGGTTTGTTTATCTTCCTATGTTGCTTATTTTGATGGCACATCCTTTCAGCTGTCTTGGGTGACCCCATGACCCTTCTGTGTCCTGTTTGTAGGACCCCAGACAAGCAGAGTAACTGAAAAGGTGCAGTGGCCAAGAAATTCTGTAGTCCCACAACGAAGCAGGTTCTAGCAGCTATGCAGGACAGTCCATGGTCCCAGAGGACGGTGCAGCAATCCCGGAGATCGCAAGAATTCCACACTACCCTAGCCCTTAACCCTCCTCTAATTGGTGTGTATAACCCGTTAGAGCTGCAGAACAAAACAGGGATGATCCCAGACAAGAAACGGAGGAGGGCCCTAAATGTCCACCTATAGCAACATGACCTTAGGCAAGTCACTGATCCTGCCTGAGGCCCAATTTCTTAGTCTATGAAATGGAAAACTACAGCTACCTGTCTCTCAGATCTTTTGCAGATATATAAAATTCTGTAAGTCTCTGTGGTTTGGGTGTGATCCGCCCAGACCTTTGAAGACCAGTATTCCTGAAGTAATTGGTTCCAAAACACCAATACGCCTCCTGGGTTGACACCAGGATTCTATACGCTTTCTCTTCGATTCTGCGGGGTTGCCCGCTGCCCCAAAAGCATGGAAGAGATGAGCCACCAATTTTACAAATGAGAAAACAGAGGCTCTGGGAACACTGATTCATCCAAAGCTGCAAAATAAACCAGAAGAATAACCAAAGACCCCAAATATAGGCATCACAAGCAGCACCGTGTCCACAGGTCACACCACTCCAACTTTTGTGAAACTTCCCCTAGCACAGGTTTATCAACATCTTTGTCGACAAACTTACAGAGAACCTACTACTCCTAGGCACTGTGTTCGGTGCTGGGGACACAGAAATGCATTTGATGCAGTCCTTGTCCTCAAATCTTTCATAGATCAATGGAGGAGAAAGGCATAGTCTTGCAGACCTATAAACAGCAATATCTATCACAAAGTTATAAGCGGTAAAACGGAGGTAGGAACCAAGGTACTGCAGCAGCAGGGAAGAAGGATTATCTTTACAAGGAGAGTCTGGAAAGGCCTCCCAAAGAAGCCAAAGCTGACACTTAAAAGATTAATAGAAGTTTACGAGGTAGATAGGGCCAGGGCATTGGGCGTTATAGATAAAGTGAACAATGTGTGGCAGGAGATAAAGGCTAGAGGAAGGCAATTCAAAGTCATTCTCTGTGACTTGGAGCATAAAGTTCATAATGAAAAATGTCAAGAAACCAAGCTAGAGAGGTCTGTGGGCACCAGATCAGGAAGGGACCTCTCTGCTGGGCTAAGAATAAGTCTTGCATTGTTTCACTAAGGGGCTGAGGCAGGGAATCAGCATGTCATCCCCAGCCTACGTTAACCTCCTTAATACCTACACTTACAGACAGAGGAAGCTAACTGACAGAAAATGGCCAAGGAAATCTCTCTGTGGCGAGTCTAGGTTTAACAGTCTCTCTTTCCCCATAAAGACTTGAAATCTATACTTCAAGACGTAACAGTGCACCCTTTCCTTCTTCTCTGGAGTTACATTGCTTCAGTAGATGGACTGAGCACTCAACTTGCATTTTTTGTTCTTTGTGTTAAGACCCCAAGCATGATGGCGTCTTTGTTCAGCCAATGCACAGAGGCAGAAGAGAAGGTTCCAAGTCAAGAACACCTGTTTTCTGCCGAGCCCTGGGAAAAATATTAATTTCATGTTCAAAAGGAATATGAGTCACAGTCCCTGTCCACAAGGGGTTTACAAAGTAGCCTAGATGACAAGACAGAAATATGAATAATCTATACAGAACATGATATTATAATAGCATTATTTGCTTACATAGTAAAGTACCAACTTGGGTCACATGTAAAATTAGAAAAAAGGGCACTAATACTAAGGTACTAACTGTACAACCAACAAGTCCTAAAAGAGTTAGAGAAGAAGAAGATCAATATTGACTGGTATTATCAAAGGTCATTATTATTAATACTCCCCCTGTTTGGCATTTAATAGATGTTTCTTTTGGCCAAGCTCAATCCTTAGAAGGGAAACCTAGGCAGGAGCTTCTGACAGGCCACAATTATCTACTCCCCATTCATTCCTTTGCCAGGCCCCTTGTATAAACACTGTGATTTTCCACAGCCTACTGTGCCCACAAGACAGTTCCCAAATGGTAACCCTGTGCTTTTCACCTTCCTCTGCTGTGGGATATTGGAGGGGCCCAGACAAGTAATAATGACTAGCCCCCCTGCTCCACAATCCAGACCTGTGATCAGATCTCAACAAGCAAAAATTGATCAACTGGTCAACCAAACTTTCCAAGGTCAGGGAATTCTAAATGAAATTCCTAGGTACATGAACAGAGATGTTTTTACAAATGCTGACCAGCCCACTTTAGCCTTTTATATTCTTCCCCCTATTTCACCCCATCTCCCCCATGGGCATCTCAAGTTTTATCAGATTTTCTATAGGCAACTTTTTCAGAGAAAGGACTTTCCAACCACACAAGCCAGCTAACACCCAAAACGCAAGTCACTACTCAGGCACCTGGAAAGAGAAAATAAAGCAAAGCTGCACAAGGAGAAAGGAAATCCTTATCGTGATATACTCTACCTCTACCATAAATTGTTCCAAGAAGGAATTTTCTTCAAATGGCTCCGTCTTCAACCGATCTGTAATAAGAAGGGATACAGAAAAGAAATATTAGTCTTAGGATGAGTTTCCTGCCTGTGAGAAGGAAAAGAAACAGAGCCCGAGATTTCTTGGGAGGGAGCATACACATGCAACACCCAGAGTCCAGTGGGAGAAGGGATGAGAGTGTGTGACAAATAGGAGGAGGAGGAGAGGGTGATCAGCAGTACAGGACATGTTCTTCCTGCCACAAAAATGAAGGTAGAACTGAATTTTTATTCTGAAGCAGAAACTATGCTTCAGAAGGTCCCAAGTGTGTGTTGTCCTCCCACAGTTTTATACAGCTGTTGGCCCTTTTCCAAAGTCTTTCCTTGCCATTGCCTAGGGCATGGCTGGACTCGGTTATAGCTTCTATTGGTCACTTGGGTGCCAACCGGGTCCTCAAGGCAGAGAGAAGTGTCACCCGGCATCAAGTCTCCAGTTATGGTCAGTACCCAGCATCTCCTCAGGGAAGCACACCTCTAATGCAGATAACTCTCCCCTTTTCTGAGGCCCTTTGACCATCTGTACCACTCCCCACCCAACACCCCAAAGAATGCCCTCTCACCTCGGCTCAGCACAGCCCCACTCTCCTGGTAGTCCTGGATCTCTAGATCTTTCATACGAAGCACGGTTGCTAGCTCCCTCACTTGGCACTGCAAGGCCAGGCTCATGCCCATGAGAGGACGAATCAAATGCTGGGAGACCTTTCATGGAAGAGATATCAATCAGCCAACAGACACAGAGTACTCCCCACTGTATTAGGAACTAGAAAAATACTGAAAAATAAATGTTTTCACAGGGACTTACGGTTTCATAAGCAAGCAACCCGTTTGCATGACTCTAATAATACAATAATCAAATAGGTAGGAGAAATAAGTTCAAGGGTTTTCTCCGTAGCATAGATAAAAGGGTGGGAAGAATAGAGGAGAACACGTGGATAGGCAGCCCGGAGTGGTGATTTAAAGAGAAGGACGTGACAGAATTGATAAGAGAAAAGGGTTGCTTCAACTCTCCGCAGAGACTGAGAGACAAAAGCAGAAGATCCAAGTAGCCTTCAGGAAAGTGGGCGTGGCTAAAACAGAGTGTGCTAGCTGGAGCATAACAGAAGACAAAAATCAACAGAGGGACGCCTGGGTGGCTCAGTCGGTTAAGCGTCTGCCTTCGGCTCAGGTCATGATCCCAGGGTCCTGGGATCGAGTCCCGCATCAGGCTCCCTGCTCTGCGGGGAGTCTGCTTCTCCCGCTGCCTCTGTCTCTCTCTCTCTCTCTGTCTCTCATGAATAAATAAATAAAAATAAAATAAAATCTTAAAAAAAAAAAAATCAACAGAGAGTAGAGAGCCTGGGAATCAGTCTCAAATTAGACCCAGACACTGATTACGAGCCATTTCAGGGCTGATGATAGCCCAGAATGAGCCCAGAGTTTCAATCTGCTCCCAGGAAGGCAGCAGTTTGAGGTCATTGTGACAGAAGCCAGCCAGTCACCGAGAGGCCAGCCTAGGAAGGAATAAACCGATCCAGCACACCTTGCTCTTAATAAGGTAAGAATTAGGATGCAAGCATCGCCATGCTGCTGAGCAGCTAGGATGGTGTCCTCATATAATAACGTATAGCTATAGAGAATAATCACTTAATTCACCCACACAAGGTGTCCAGTAGCCGAAGAAAGCAAAAAGCCTTAGCCAAAGAAAATAACTAGAATCAATAATCTCTTTGTGACTAGTGGATGCTATCGGGGTTCATTTCCCTTGCCCCAAGGAGATGAGCTCAAGGAGGCACTAAGAAGAAATGCCCTAGATCAGAGGTCAGCAACATTCTGCATGGGGCCAAGGAGTCAATATTTTCAGCTCTGTGGCCCATACAGGCCCTGTCAAAATACTCAACTCTGCTGCTATAGCATGAAAGCGCCCATAGACAACATATAATAAATGAGCGTGGTGGGTTTCCAATAGAACTTTAGAAAAATTGGCAGCAAGCCAGAGTTGGCCCGCTGGCCATAGTCTACCCAGCCCCATGCTTCTCTAAGGACAGATCAGAAGAGAAGAGATGGGGGGGGGGGGCGGGTGATGGTAAAGGTTAGAGCCCGCAGCTTCTGTACCACCACCAGGACCCGACATATGCAGGGTTACTGACGCAGAGTAGGCTGAAAATCAAATGTAGCTGTAAACACCCATCACTTCTTTCCATCAGGAAGCACATCCCAAGCTGGTCCTGGTACCCAGTTCAGGTCCTTAGGATAAACTTAAGCCTCCAAGAAGTACTGCTCAAAATGCGGCCAAAGTTCTGCTCCAGACCCAACCCTCTTTCCTAGGAATTGTTTGGTTAGGTTTGGTCCTGTTCGAGGGAGATCAGGAGGAAAAACAGGGAAATCCTCGGATGAAAGCAAGTCAGTGTTCGGAGGGGTGAGCTGAAAGTAATCGCAGCTGGTAACCAAGCAGCATCACCATCCCTCTGATGACAGCCCTCAAATACAGAAATTCCTAGAGGTGGGCGCCTGGGTGGCTCAGTTGGTTAAGCGACTGCCTTCGGTTCAGGTCGTGATCCTGGAGTCCCGGGATCGAGTCCCGCATCGGGCTCCCTGCTCGGCGGGGACCCTGCTTCTCCCTCTGACCCTCCTCCTCTCATGCTCTCTGTCTCTCATTCTCTCTCTCTCTCTCAAATAAATAAATAAAATCTTAAAAAAAAAAAAAATTAAAAAAAAAAAAAAGAAATTCCTAGAGGTGACAACCAGCCTCTCTCTGGGAATCCACCTACCAGCGATCTCTTTGAGTGGTGGTAAATCTAACCACAAGAAACATAATGAGCAAGTTTCTAATCAATGCCACGTCTAATTAAATATGGTAATGCCACGCCAGGCACCGGAAGTTATCTATCAGACTCCAATGTCTATATAGCAAATAATAATAATAATAATAATTTCATAGAATTGGGTTACACTACTCTAAATCATTGGGGTATAACTCATTTCAAAGTTAGATGCACACTAACACACTACGATCAGTTAATTAGGACACGGCATGTGGATGAAGTAATGAGTTTCAAAGCAAATCCACAAACACCACAAGGAAAAAGCCTGAAGCACTTCAGGAGGTCAGGACGACCCCCACCCCTTCATTTAAAGACAACGATATATGAAGAGTTGCAGTTTCACAAGTCAATTCAACAAATACCTACTGTGTACCTAACACCTACTGTGACCCTGTGAGGCGTCTGCCCCCAAAGAGCTCACAACAGTTAAGGAGGTCAGGAAGTGTGATGGATATAGAGGCAGGAGTTTCCAATCTTTTCCAGAGGAAATCTATTTATAACATCCCCCAATGTCTACAGATTTCCCATTGAAATGTTGACAAGTCAGAGGAAGGAGAGCTGAATGGCAGTTACCAATCCCAAGACGAATTCTATCAGGTTTGGACATAGAGACAAGGGCAATCAGACTGGGAATTAGATCTAGATTCTAGCCCCGGCTATGAGAGCACCCAGATGTGAAAATGGCTTAATCCCAAGCGCTCTCATGGTCCTTATCTTTTTCAAGGAAAAATTAGGGAGTCAGAGTATTTGCTCTCAAAGGTTCACAATAATGCTGAAATTAAGTAACATTATGTATGGTCTTGTCTTTAATTCCCAGGATTCCACAGTAAGGTTGGGACTGGTGCCTCCACTTTACAGATGATGACACCAAGCCTCATAAAAACTCAGTAACTTATCCCAGGTAATACAAATAGTCAAAGTTGGAGAGCTAAGTTACAAATCAGTCCTGCCAGCTCCAAAGCCTGTGGCTCTTCCTGCCACAAAAAAACCTTTGGCTGTGACTCCTAGAAATTATAAAATGGCCAAATTTGAAAGTCAAAATTTGGAATATCAAGAATTACATTAGGAAAAGGAAGATAACAGCAATAACACCAAAGAATTACATCAGATCCTGGGAAGAACAGTGAGGAGGACGAAGGGATGAGGAAGCTGGCTGGAAGTGGAAATGGGCTAGAAAGCAGAGACCCGAGGCTTTAGCTATCCCATGCTATCCCGCACAGCCTTGAGAACTTAGCGTGAACCCTCCACATGCTGAACTCTCCTACTCTCCTGCATGACCGGTAGGAGTTTAGATGTGCAATCTCTCTGGAAGACAGTCTGGCATCATGTGAGCAAGATTAAACATACAAATAGTCCTTTTAAAAAAAAAAAAAAAGGTTTATGGGCACCTGGGTGGCTCAGTTGGTTAAGCGACTGCCTTCGGCTCAGGTCAAGATCCTGGAGTCCTGGGATCGAGTCCCGCATCGGGCTCCCTGCTCAGCAGGGAGTCTGCTTCTCCCTCTGACCCTCCCCCCTCTCATGCTCTCTCTATCTCATTCTCTCTCGCAAATAAATAAATAAAATAAAATAAGGTTTATTTATTTATTTCGGCAATCTCTACACCCAATGTGGGGCTCAAACGCACGACCCCAAGATCGAGAGTCGCATGTTCTTCCGACTGGGCCAGCCAGGCGCCCCCAAATATTCCTTGATTCAGCTATTCTGTTGCTAGGAATTTACTTATACATTTATACTTAGGAAAAATAAATGCAAGGATAGTCACTACATGTACTAACAAAAGAGTGGAAACAACTTAGATGTCTACTAGCAGTTTGTCAATTAAATACATGTTGATATATGCATCAAATAAGGCTCTAAGTTACCGGTAATGAATATTAAGGCAGATCTTCTAAATATATTGCTATGAATGGTTTCTAAGTTCTATAATTAAGTGAAAAGAGCAAGCTACTGAACAGCGTGGATAGCATGCTGCCATTTGTGAAAAGACATACATATGCCCAGATAGGTATTTGACTGTGTAAGTACATACATACTCATATGTATACAAACCTACGTACAGCTTTCTTTAAGAATGCACAAGAAGATGGTATCAGTTGCTTTAAAGAAGGAAAATGAGGGACTAGAGAGAGGAGTAGAAGGACCTATTTTTTCCACTCTAGACCCTTCTTCAATGCTATTTGAAATGTTTGCTTTTTGCATGAATTACTCATTGAAAAAAAATGAAATAAAAACTATCACAAGAATGAGTAACAAACAAAAATTATGACTGTGTGACCTCACAGACGCACACACCAGCCTAAAATAGTATCCGCCTACATCCTTGACAGTGTCCGCGGCTCTAACTTTCTCCCCTGTAAAGCCTCCTCAGGCTCAGGGACTTCCCTGGGCTGGCTTTCTTCTTTTTTTAATAATAAGTATTTTATTTTACCTTAAAGCCTAATTGTTCACCAGCTGTTCAATGTTCACTTCTCCCCGTGGCGAACCAGGACTCATTCCACTCCAAACACTGATGCTTCTTTTCTTATTGTGGCTGCCCAATTAGAGGAATTTGCCTAGAAATGGCTAGTTTTCCCTTTATATATTATTTTCAATTATAATCTCATTATACAAGTGTTCTTTACTTTATCATCTTGGAAAAAACAACAAAAAAAACTATTAGAGCCCATCAGCCTCCTAGGAGAACTACCTCCTCAGTCTCACTATTCTGAATTTCTAGGGCTGTATGATGTAAAGGGAGACCAGCTATTGCTAGGACCTCCCTAAGGCAGCCCAAAGGTTTTGGTCCTAGAACAGGCATTATTGAGGGAACAGTGCCCCCTGGTGTTACTAGAAAAAGTTACAGGGTTTTGAACAAAAGAGGTAGACTAAAGAAGGATGGAAATTTTCACAAAAAAACTCAATTAAAATCAACAGATTTTAAAACTATTATCTGCTAGGGGCGCCTGGGTGGCTCAGTCGTTAAGCGTCTGCCTTCGGCTCAGGTCATGATCCCAGGGTCCTGGGATCGAGCCCCGCATCGGGCTCCCTGCTCAGCTGGGAGTCTGCTTCTCCCTCTCCCTCTCCCCCTGCTTGTGTTCCCTCTTTCGCTGTGTCTCTCTCTGTCAAATAAATAAATTAAAAAAAAAAAATTAAAAACAAACAAACAAACAAAAAAAACTATTATCTGCTAAACACTGTTGATGGACCTTAGAAATTCAGAGATGAATGAGAAGTAGTTCTCCAGCTTTACTGGGTTCCAGATCAAAAATCCACCAGAAGGTCACCTCGGTGGGAGGGTTTGTATCTCTGACCCTTGGTTTCAGCTCAGGTTCATGATCTCAGGGTCCTGGCATCAAGCCCCGCGTCGTCGGGCTCTGCGCTCAGCAGGGAGTCTGCTTGAGACTCTCTCTCCCTCTCCCTCTGCCTCTCCCCACCACTCTCTCTCACTCTCTAAAAGAAATAAATAAGTCTTAAAAAAAAAAAATCTACCAGAGAACAGTTTCTCAAAAAACACTTTTTCCATTCACCCTGTTGATTCCAAAACATTCCATCACCTCTGGAAAACTAGAGAAGGGATATAGGAAATGATGCCCCCTTGTCTTCAGGCCCTTCTGCTGATAAACCTACATCCTCCCAAAGAAGACCCCTCCCAAAGAAGACCCCGGCCTCTAACGCTACTGACTGAAACAAGCTCTGTTTGTATAAAAGGGTGGAAGGGACCAGTGGCAGTAATTCCTGCAAACAAGTTCGTACTGTTTATTCTCAAACTAATTTCTTTTTTTTAAGATTTTATTTATTTATTTATTTATTTATTTATTTATTTATTTATCAGAGAGGGAGAGAGCGTGAGCAGGGGGTGGGGGGAAGAGCAGAGGGAGAAGCAGGGAGCTGAGCAGGGAGCCTGATGTAGGGCTCGATCCCAGGACCCTGGGATCATGACCTGAGCCGAAGGCAGATGCGTCACCGACTAAGCCACCCAGGCGTCCCTCAAACTAATTTCTAATAAAAGCTCCGGGGACCTAGAAAGCTACTAGTGAGCAGAAAATGTTATCCCCCTAGTCCCTGAAAACGGGCTCTCGAATCAGACCTATCTGGGAGTAAAATTCCAGCTCATTCATTTATAAGTTGCAGGACTTTGGACAAATTGCCTTCAATCTCAGCTTCCTACTCTGAAGACAGGGAACAATACTACTTATCTTGCAGGACAGTCATGAGGATTCAGTGACAAGAAATGTTCAGAAAGGTACATACTGAATGCTGGTACATGCTCTACCCTGTTGCCAGACTGCTCTTGATAAACTACGAATTGGATCGTGCTAAACACCTGCTTAAAGTTTTTCAGTGAATCCCTGTTGCCTTTAGGATAAAATCCACTCATTAGAATCCCTCAAAATCTGGCCACTGCCTACCTCATTTCGCACAAATCCCTGCAGTCATGAAATTCCCCCACTGGCCCCACACCTATATATCTCCCCGCCTCTCAAAATGCACTCTAGCCTAGAATGACCTCTTGATCTTCTCCCAATGAGTTCCTACTCATCTACAGAACTCAGCTCAGAAACTATCTCTTCAATGGGGCACCTGGGAGGCTCAGTTGGTTAAGCATCCAACTCTCAATTTCAGCTCAGGTTATGATCTCAGGGTTGTGAGATCCAGCCCCACGTTGGGCTCCCTGTTGGGTGGTGGAGTCTGCTTAAGATTCTCTCTCTCCCTCTGCTCCTCCCACTACCTCTCTCCCCCTCTCTAAAAAAAAAAAAAACAAAAACAAAAAACCTCTCTCTTCAAAAAGGTTTTTCAGACCTTCAGTCATCCTGAGCTTACCTCAATCAAAGAATTTACCATACTTTATCCTGTTCCCTGTCCATCTTCTCACTCGATTATGGACTCCAGGAATAGGCTATATTGCTTTAGATCTGGACACCCAACAATTAGCCCCCAGTAGATGCTTAATAAATATTAAATAATGAAGAAAAACACCCAAGAAAGCAGGTAAACCAAAACTTCACCTTTGCTCCCTTTGCAAAGAAAGGATGTACCAGCCAAGAATCTGTTCTGCCTTCTGTCCAGTCAAGGAAAGTTTTCCAACTGAAGAAGAATTTCAAACGGAGTCCACAAAAAAATAAGAGCATCTAAGGATTCATCTCAAAGCAGCCGGCATTCCCCTGCCCCACTCCACATTTGAATTACACTCACCAGGGAAGGGCTGGCTAGGGTGCAGTGGAAATTCCAATAAAAGGGGAGACCAGAGAGCTCACTCCGCACACGCAGGATCAGTGCCTCGGCCACACGATCACAGACAAAGGTAGCTTTGCTGGAGCAAGCTGTGTCCTTCAACAACGGGCGAAGTAGATCATCCAAATGACAGAGGAAAGCCGCAGGGGGGGCAGTCAGGCGCTTGTTCAGCTCCTAAAAAGACAGCGGGAGTTGTATGGAGTAAGGGTGCGAAAAGGAAACGGACTCCCCAAGTTACAGCAAAGGAGAACTCTGGCTAACATGAAGACAGCGGGCTTGAGAGGAAGGGAAGACAAAAACAGGGGAACAAGAAAGAAGAAAACAAAACGAGAGAGCGACTGGCCTACTTTACAATCCTACCTTGTACTAAATGCAGTGCAAAAACTAACATCAGACAACGATATGGAAAGATCCTGGGGGGGGACGGGCGCCTGAGTGGCTCAGATGGTTGCGCATCTGCCTTGGGCTCAGGTCATGATCCCAGGGACCTGGGATGGATTCCCTTGTCGGGCTCCCTGCTCAGCGGGGTCTGCTTCTCCCTCTGCCCCTCCCCCCACTAGTTCTCTCTCTCACTCTCTCTCTAATAAATAAATAAAATCTTAAAAAAAAAAAAAAGAAAGGGGGCACCTGGGTGGCTCAGTCGGTTAAGTGGCTGCCTTCGGCTTGGGTCATGATCCCGGGGTCCTGGGATCGAGCCCCGCGTCGGGCTCCCTGCTCGGTGGAGAGTGTGCTTCTCCCTCTCTCTCTGCCTGCCTCTCTGCCTGCTTGTGTTCTCTATCTCTCTGTCAAATAAATAAATAAATAACCCATGCTTTAAAAAAAAAAAAAGAAAGAAAGATCGCAGGGCTTTAGGTAGAAGGGCAGGACATTCGTTAGAATTGTCTGCACCTGATTCCACCTCCCTTGGCAACCTACAGGCCAGCAAGCTGGCTGATGTGAATGTACCCTGACCCGCACTAAGACAGAAATTATACCCACTACCGCCCCGCAGCAGAACTGCTCTTCACGCTTACCTTGGCTCGCTGGCTGACCACACAAGCATCCACCTGTTCATGCCACACCTGTTGAAGATCTGAAACCAGCAAGGCGTACCCCTGCTTGGTGATATATGCCTTGGCCAAGAGAGAGTTCTCAGCAAGTTGTAGCCAGGCCCATGGCTGCATCAACAGGCCTTGCTCCAGCTTCTCCATCTGCAGAAGAGTCTGGATTTAGGCAAGCGCCCCAAGGTACTGTAGGCCTGGGGACAGGGGCACCACACAAACAGTCCCATAGCAAATAAGTCTTATGAAGGACCCCTCCCTAATGAGACAGAAGGCATGGATTTACATTTTACCCCCTCCCCCCCAACACACACAACCCCCCCACCCCCATCCCCTGTCTCCCATATAATCAGCTGGGCACCGACCTTACTACCTCCTGGCCACTAAAAATCTATTTAGAATTTTAATTTATTTTTTCAAATTAGTTCCTAAAGGGCATAAAATATCTCTCTTCTATAGTGTTTAAGCCTCGGCATATTGGTCTCAGTATTTCTGCTTTCTAACAGTATAACTTATTGTGGAAACCTAAACCATTCTTGTTGTATCTTTATCACATTCCTAATAAATATGCCAATGTTACCCTTTCCCAGAACTTCTAGAAGAGAAGGAATAGTTCTTGTCTTATAAAACATCGTAAGTCGTAAGTGTCATGAGCAGGAAATTCAAATTATTTGATCAATAGCTAGAAATAAAACTCTAGGGGCGCCTGGGTGGCTCAGATGGTTAAGCGTCTGCCTTCAGCTCAGGTCATGATCTCAGGGTCCTGGGATCGAGCCCCACATCAGGCTCCCTGCTTGGCGGGGAGCCTGTTTCTCCCTCTCCCTCTGCTGTTCTCCCTGCTTGTGCTCTCTCGCTCTCTCTGTCAAATAAATAAATTTTAAAAAGTCTTTAAAAAAATTTTAAAAAAAGAAATAAAACTCTAGAAGATCTCAGATTTTCATATATAAATATTTATATGAACATAGATATATACATTCCCAAAGACAGGCATTCTTAATCTAGAGTCTATGCAGGTGAATCCTCTGGAATTATAGACAAAATCTGTGCACACGTGCAGATAGCCATTCGGGAGGAAGAGGTCCACAGCTGTGTCAAACTCTCAAAGGGATCAATGACACACAAATAAAGAGCCAACAAATTCTATGTCCAGAAGCAAACAAGAAAGTCCCAAATCCCATTTCAAGAACATAGATGACTAAGACATCATAAACACAAGGCACAGCATTTCACAGAGATAGAAACAATTAATTAACTTCCGCTTCAGTCATGCCCTATATATCCCTAACCCAAGGTACAACCATCAATGACATCATGCCCTGTTATACCTCCTGGGACTCCTGGGAACCAACTTCTCTAGTTCAACAACGAAATTTGTAGTCTTAACCTAGTAGATGTTCAGTAACTAAGGCTACTTTACGGGAAGTTTGATCATTTTTCCTGTGGGGGGGAGGGAGTGATACTATTTCCTTTATTATTTCAGTCTATAAATACAAAGTGAGGTGAGGGAAGCGCCTTAGAATATAAAGAAGATAATGAAATTCCTTGGATTTCCTTCACATGATTAACATGGTTCTGTTCCTCCAGTCATTTCCATCATGGTCTAAGCCGTCATTCTTCCAACCATAACCTAGCTTTTGAAGTGTGGTCTTGTAACAAAATTGTGCAGTCAATAGTTGGGTAAAACGTAAATACATATTGCCATTTTTATTTGCAGCGGCCTCAAAACCTTGCGTTTGGGGGACGGGACGTCAGTTGCTTCCCACGAGCTGCTGCCACGGGGAGGAGATCTTGGAATGATTAAGCTAGCCCTCAATCGAGTTCCACATAGCCAAAGGTCACAAATGCAAGGGAACAAGGGAAGTCGCCCGTGTAGGCACTCCGCAGTGCGTCCTGTAAGAGTGCCCTAAATTGGGTTGATTATCTTGGCCCGTCACTTTCGGAAAGCCTGGGAGCTCAAAACCCTCAAACTGTATGGGGGTTTTTTTGTCCTGTCTGGGGGGCGGGAGAGGGATTTAAAATGTGCTCAGGATCAACGGGCCCCATAGGAAGATTTGAAACATTCAGCACCAGACCTGGTGTTGGCTGCTCCCACCAAGCGCGTCCTGTTGAGTCCAAGGCCTCTGTATCTCATTTTTCCCCCCTTCAAGGCCGCCTTTAACCGTCACATTAACTAGATTCACCCGTTTATTATTCTTGAATGGAGCAGGGAAGCGCCGAGGGCCAACAGGAGGTCGCCCAAGAACCCGGGTCTGCACCGAGTCCCGCCCCTCGGCCGAGCCCCTCTCTCGGCGCAGTTCCCCCCGTAGTCCTGCAGAGGGCAGCAAGGCCCCAGCGACCGTCCGGGCTGGGCCACGCCCCGTCCCTCTGGTGGGGACCAACCCTCGCTCGCCTAACCGCAGCCCCACCCCAGGAGCCCCGCCTGGCGTAGTTTCCACCCGCCCTCACTGCGAGGGCCTCCGCCGTCAGCCTTCGACAGCACTGGCAGCACCGAGACGCGGCTCCGGACCCTTCGGGGGTAGCAAAGCCGACCACCTGCCGCCCTGTAGCACCAAGGAGCCCGCCAAGGAGTAGCCTCACAAGGCCCTCCTCGCCGTCGGAAAGCGGGCTGCGCACGCGCGGCGCACGTCCGGCGCACGCGCCCCGCCCACCCCCGGAGGCCTGCCGGAGCTCCGGGGCCGAGCGCCCGTGCCCGCTCGCCCGCAGGGTCCCCGCGGCCCCTCGCCGCCCGGCCCCGGCCCGGGCCCCGGCCCCGATTCGAACCCCACGCCACCTACCGTGAGCGGCCGCCAGAGCTCCCGCCCCTCCCCGCAGCGGGCCGGCCCGCGCAAACCGAAAGGCCTAGAGTAGAGACCTTTCGGGACAGAGGGGCGGAGCGCAGGCCCGACGTGGGCGGGGCATCTGGGCCCTCAGAGCTGTTGGAAGGAGCACTCAGAGCTGGGGGGCCCCCCGCGCCCAGGGGAGCGGGAAGAGGGCTGGGCGATCCGCTGCTAGGGAGATGGGGTGGTGGTGGCGCCCCCCGGAGTCGCGCTGGCGGAGTAGAAAGAATGCCAGAGGAGGTGCGGGAGAGGGGGGTCTCTGGATTTGGACTTGTCAGCAAACTTGGATCACTTCCGTCCCCTACCTGCCCAACCGCTTGTTTTGTTTCGTTTTAAATAAAATGAGGGGCGCCTGCCTACTTCGGTCGGCTAAGCGGCTGCCTTCAGCTCACGTCATGATCTCAGGGTCCTGGGATGCAGCCCCGTGGTGGGGCTCCTTGCTCAGCAGGGAGTCTGCTGCTCCCTCTCGCTCTGCCCCTCCCCCCAAATAAATAGGTAAAATCTTTAAAAATAAATAAAATGAGGAGGTTGAACTTCACTAATCTCTCTCGTCCTCACCAGCACTCAAATTGTTTCAGAGAGGATCCTTCCATGCATAAATCCCATGGTCTCACCTCATCCTTTCTCCTGTCTCATTTCTCCTTCCATTTAACCCCATACTTATGGTCCATCACCACGGAGAAACTTGAAATCCCTCAGCTCATTTTCTGCTTTGCACAATTTATGGTTTTGCTCCAGCTGGATACCTGAGCTTGAAATATTCTCCCCATCTGCTTTCCACTTGTCAAGGCCAGCCTTGGTGCTGCTGCTTTCATAAAGCCTTTGTTTGCCACTATCCACAATCAGAATTAATTGTTTCTTCCTTTTTGCTCCCATAGCATTGTTTTAATCTTTATTATAGACTGCCTTTTGCCTTAGATTTTAGTTAGTAATTACATAGGTCTTTTTATTTTTTTTTATTTTTTAAAGATTTTATTTATTTGAGAGAGAGAGAATGAGAGACAGAGAGCACGATAGGGAAGAGGGCAGAGGGAGAAGCAGACCCCCTGCTGAGCAGGGAGCCCAATGCGGGACTTGATCCCGGGACTCCAGGATCATGACCTGAGCCGAAGGCAGTCGCTTAACCAACTGAGCCACCCAGGCGCCCCTACATAGGTCTTTTTAAATGGTAGGTGCCTTAAGAGGGTAGGGACCCTGTCTTATCCATAACTGTAGTTCCAGAACCTTGCACATGGGAGGCCTTCAATAAATATTTGTTAAGTAAATGCTAGGGTTTGACCATAGATAGTTCACATGCAGAATCTCATTCATTCAATCATTGCCCACTAAACGATGGCCCCTGCCTGGAACAGTTAGGCCTAATTAAGAGAAGGAAAGGCAACACACCCATCGGGAAATGAGACTGTTAGGTGGGCCCGTTTCTCTCTCACACACACACACACACACACACACACACACACACACACACACACACACCTTCTTCCTAGGAGAAATTAGAACCCGGAACTCACCCTCCAGCAAGCTGGGAGATAGGGTAAACTAACCAGGGCAGGAGTAGGAGTACTGGTAATCACTGGGACCCAAGTTCTCTTCTAGACTTGGGACACTGCTCCCCAAAGCCAGGCAACAAGTCGGCTGTCTCTCCTGGCTCAGAGGGCCCTCCTTCCTGATTCCCAGGGTCTTCAGGCAGTGGGCAGAGGCAACGGAGGGGCTGAGGGATGTAGGGACGCAAGTTTTGGATGGGGAAAGGAAGCTCATACTCTTTGGCAGCCTTCTCCCTGAACTTCTGAGGCAGCTGAGCCTCTTGGGCAGCGAAAGGAGATGGCAGCCCTTGACCTAGGCCTCGCTCAAGCCTTGTGCCTGCAAAAGAAAGGTTGGTCAGGTCATTGCCCCACCCGGGGAGTGAGTAGCACCTGGCTACTCCCCACTGTGCTGGGGCCTGGCCTCAACTTACCAGGAATGGTGTTCTCTAAGAGGAAGCCCAAAAGTCCTGCCAGGAAGATGGGCTCTGTGAGCAGTGAGCGCAGTAACACATCTAAGGGGCTCCAGCCTACAGAGAGTTGGGGCCAGGCAGGAGGGGAACTCTGATCCTGTGCAGGGTCAATGAGTCTTATATTTCTATGTCTAAATCTAAGTCTTGGGCTAAGGACAGATCTTTCTGAACTGTTATCCCATCTTCCCCCACCTTTGTCCCCCTACTCTCTATTTCCCCCACCCAGGCCCTTCCCACAAGATCCCAGCCCATCATCCTGTCTTCTGAGTATCCACATGCCCTCCAGATATGTTTTGGTAGTTGCAGGCCCTGTAAAGTTTGGTATTAAAAGCCCCAACCATGGGGTGACTGGGTGGCTCAGTTGGTTAAGCGGCTGACTCTTGGTTTCGGCTCAGGTCATGATCTCAGGGTCCGGGGATCAAGCCCGTGTCAGGCTCCCTGCTCAGTAGGGAGTCTGCTTGAGGAATCCCTCTCTCTCTCCCTCTCTCTCTGCCCCTCCCCCCACTAGCATCCTCTCTCTCTAAAATAAAAATAATCTTTAAAATAAATAAATAAAAGCAAACCCCAACCTTACTTCCCACTTTTTTTTTAAGATTTTATTTATTGGAGAGAGAGAGCGTGCACAAGCACGCAGAGGGGCAGAGGGAGAGGAAGAAACAAACTCTGCTGAGCAGGGAGCCCGATGTGGGGCTCAATCCCAAAGGCATGACCTGAGCCAAAGGCAGACACTTAACCGACTGAGTCACGCAGGCGCCCCTTACTTCCCAACCTCTTACCTTCTATGCTCTAGCCTGGTTTTGTCAACCTCAGTCCTACTGACATTTTCGACCAGATAATTCTTTGTTTGAGGGGGCCTGACCTGTGCACTGTGGGATATTTAGCAGCATTCCCTCTACCCACTAAATGCCACTAACAATCCCCTCTTCTGTTTGTAACAACCAAAAAGGTCTCTGGATGTTCCCTGTGGGGCAAAATCCTCCTCAGTTGAGTGTCATTGCTATTAGTTAGGCTGCACGGTCTTTGCTGCTCCCCGGAAATACCCTATGACTTCCTACATCTAGGTCGTGGTTTCTGGTGGTTCCCCCACCGGAAATAAGCTTCCTCTCACTAAATATGTTCAAATCTTACCATCCTTCGAACTAGCTCAATGTTACTTTCTCCATAAAACTTAACTTGGATAATCTCAAACAGAAACTCTCTCACCACCAGCACTCCTTATCTGAACCTTTCCTACTATGTTTGTACGTATCTTATTTCTTTTACTGGACTGTAACATCTGGAGGCACCTCTGTATCCCAAGGGGCTAGACTGGTGCTCAGTAAATATTTGCTAAACAAATAGCTCAACTAGTTACAGCAAAGCCCAGAAAAGGGTGTGGGACCTGGAGTCCAGAGAGCCCCAAGCCTCCAGTCCTTGTCTTCCCAGGTCTGTCCAATTCCTCTTTCCATCCCTCCTCCTCCTCCCACCTGTGGTCAGCAGGACTGGGGCTTCCCGAAGCCATCTTGGCAACAGCAGAGCCATGAAGATGGAGAAGCCAACAATGAAGACATTCCGCCCAGAGTCAATGTCAGCCAGGTGGAAGCTGGAGAATCCAGTAGACAGAACCACGGCCTGGGTCACCCCAAGCATCCCACCTGTCTCGTAGGGAAGTAATCAAGGGGGTTGGGAAGGGCTGGCGTAGCAGGGAGGATTGCAGGGTGGGGCAGGTTGTGATGAAGACAGACAACCAAAAGGCTCATTCTCCAGTTATGACAGAAGCGCGGTCAAGAGGTCAAGATGTTGGGCTGGGGAAAATGAGCGCAGCTGACACACACAGCTCTCCATATGTCAGGGGTCTGTTCAGAAAGAGAGGGTGCCAGGCACAAGCAACCAGTTGGGCCATCCTGGGGGGCGGGGGGGGGGGTAGTGCTGGTTCAATACCAGCCCTGCTGATACGTCCACTCACCAAGCACAGGCAGCGGGATGGCGGTGAGGAGCTGGGCCAGCCTCGGGGAGAGCCCAAGCCCCATGCAGAGCAGCCCCACCAGGTGCACCACTCTCCGAGAGCCAGCCTGGGTGGAGAAGAGATGCTAGAAAACACAGCCACCTCTTCGACGCTCCAAGGGTTTTGCCTCTCATCATTTGGATCCCAACTCAAATGTGACCCTTCCAAGAAGCACGCTACCTGAAGGCTCCTCCTTTTCTCAACCGCTATCCCACTGCTACCCTACTTTGTTTTCTTTTTCTTTTTTAAAGATTTTATTTTTAATAAAATAAATAATTTAATATTTTTAATTTTTGCCCGCTTTGTTTTCTCGATAGCACTTATCACTCTGAAATTATCTTACCTTTTTCCTTAGAAAAAAAAAAGATTTTATTTATTTATTTGTCAGAGAGAGAGAGAGCACAGGCAGAGGGAGAGCAGACTCCCTGCTGAGCAGGGAGCCCGATGCTGGACTCAATACCAAGACCCTGAGTCCATGACCTGAGCTGAAGGCAGACGCTTAACCAACTGAGCCACCCAGGTGTCCCTATCTTACTTTGTTCCTTAAATCGTCTGCCTCTCCCTCTCTGAAGTGCCCAAGAGAGCAGGGACTTTATATGATGTGATCTCACTGGATCCCCAGCCCAGGTACAGTGCCTGAGTCATAGAAGGAATTTAGTGGTGACTTAGTGTCTTCTTCCCGCTCCTAGCCCCTTACCACTTCTAGGCACCTCCCTAAATGAGATCGTTGATGTGGAGTGCCTGACAGAATGCTGGACACAGACGGCCACCAGTCAGTGTGAGTTTCCTCCCCTCTCCCAGCTCCCCCGCCCCATCCTCATCCACATACCTGGATAAGACTCACTGTGCCCACGTTGGGGAAGCTGGATGCAGTACCCATAGGGCTCCCCAACAGCCCGGCCAGCACGCTGCCCAGACCCTCCAGGCTCAGCCCTCGACTGCAGGCGTGTGGAGGTGGGGACGGCAATTGCAGCAGCTGGCCACACAGGGCATAGCAGCCCAGGGAGCTGGTGGAGGCTGCCAAAGCCATGGAGATGCCTGCAGCCAGAGCCCTGGGTGTCAGCAAGGGCCAGTCCCACTCAGCTGGGGAGGGAGAAAGAGCCACCTTGGGGCCAGACTCCAGTCTGGAGCATCCCCCTGCCTCCAAAGTTCTGTGCCACAAGAATCCTGGAGAGCCCATTGTCTTTGAAGATAACGTCTTGGGATAAAACCAACAAACTCAGGATAAAGACTCATCCCTTTACCATGGTCTACAAGGCTTCATCTCTCACCACACTCTGCTTCACTCCCTTCACTCCAGATACCCTGGCCTTATTTCAGGCCCTTGTACTTGCTGTGTGGCTGGCTACCACAGGGCCTTTGCATGTGCTGTTCTCCCTACCTAGAATGCTCTTCTCCCTTGCCTTTACCCTGTTAGCTCCTACTCATCTCTCACATCTCAGCTCAAAGATCACTTCCTCAAGAATACTTTTCTGGATCTCTCTGATAAAGTCAGATTCTCCATTTTAAGCTGTCATTACACAATGTACCTCCCCATTGTTACACTTACCACATGCAATTTCACATTTACTTGGGTGACTATTTAATTAGTATCTGCATTCCCCAGCAGATATAGCTTCATGAGTATAGGTACTGTGTCTGTCATATTTATCACCATGTCCCCTATCACGTGCCCAGCACAAAATCTGCACTCAACAGACCTTTATTAAACTGACGAATGAACAACTTTTGTACACAGTGCCTCAAAAGCAATTTTTATACCTAGGTCACCAACTCAAATGCCTGTGGGAGGGGGGGCACAAATGCGGAAATTGGGTAAGGAGTATCAACGGGGAGTGGTGGGCTTGCAGAGGTCTCTTAACACTCAATAAAACACCTGTGACGAGGGGCCGGCACTGCCCCTCAGACTGGCAACTTCTCTCCCCTGTGTGTTTTGAGAAAACACAGGACTTAACTCAGAAATAAAATTCACTCCATCTTGAGTCCAAAGAAATAGACCCTTTATTTGAGTCAGAGAATGGAGGGCGAAGAGCAAACCTACCTGGGTGAGGCAGCCAGACCCATGGCGCCTCGGGGGAGGTAGACAGCTCTGGGGGGATGATGCGCAGACCCAGAAGGGCAGAGATGATCCACACACAGGCCACTGGCGTCAGCACCTGAGGGGCAAGACTGAGACAGGGAAGAACCCCTCCCCCAGAACCTTCCAAGCCAGGCTTTGAGGGGGAAGACAGAAGCCAAAAGGTAGCAGGCTGAGCAAGCATTCTATGCCAGGCCTCCTCCCCTCAACTGCCCTGCCCAGACCCCAACATACCGAGAGGAGCCGGAAGACGGAAATGGGAGTGTGAGGAGAAGAGTTTGAAGCTGGTCTCCAGGGGCAGGGAGGTAACTGGCAGGAGCCCAGGTGCTGAGAACAGACCACCATGAGCAAGATAAGCCTAGGAGAGAGAAGGAGCTTTAGGAGCAAGAGGAAGCAGGCATCCTGTGGGGGTTAATGGAGGTAGGAGTGGCAGAATTCCCTAAAAGGGGTCCCAGACAAGAGAGGAAAGAGGATACCTTGGTGGGGGGAGGGGGGGTCAGCGAGAGACAGTGCAAAGCCAGGGAAACCAAATGAATCCAGCAAAAATCCGGGATTCCAAATCCATAAAGGATCGGCCCTGCTCAGATGGCTGCTGAGTTGGGTAGGGCCAGCTGCTCTGCCCTCCCCCAGGCCCCCACAACCCACTGGTCACCACCCCACGCCTCTCAGGACTTACGTACAGCAAGGCCAGGCCCCAGTGAGTAGAGCAGAAGAGGGCCACCTCCCTGTGGGCAGAGAACCCTGCCACCACCAGGCTGGGGGCCAGCACCAGGGGCCCACAGTGGGAGAACAAGTGGCCAGGAACCCCCAACAGCCCCAGGGTGCCCTGCAGCAGCCCGGATACCACCACAGCCCCGGACACCTGGAGGAGCCAAGAAAAGGACAAAGAGGAAGCGTTCTGCTCAATGGAGTTGACCTTAGCCTGGACTTCTTCTTTCTTTTAAATTTAAATTCAATTAGCCAACATATAGTACATCATTAGTTTTTGATATACTGTTCATTGATTCATAGTTGCGTATAACACCCAGTGTTCATCACATCACGTGCCCTCCTTAATGCCCATCATCCAGTTACTCCATTCCCCCACCCCCCCACCCCTCCTCCAACCCTCAGTTTGTTTCCCAGAGCCAAGAGTCTCTCACAGTTTGTCTCCCCCTCTGATTTCCTCCCATCGGTTTTCCTTCCCTTCCCCCATGGTCCTCTGCACTATTTCTTATATTCCACATATGAGTGAAATCCTATGATAATTATCTTTCTCTACTTGACTTATTTCACTTAGCATAATCCCCTTGAGTTCCATCCATGTTGATGTAAATGGTAGGTATTCATCCTTTCTGGTGTCAGCCTGGACTTCTTAATGAATTCCGAATTCCAGGGGTGGGTCCCTGCCCCAGCTCCTTCCCCCAGACCATCTCAGTCCCCACCGACTGGAAACAGGAACCTCCTCCATCCTGGCACGACCTGCAGCCCTCCTGCTCCCCACCCCCAGGCACTCACCTCTCTGAGAGAAGTGTTCCAGAGCCCCAGGCCATGGCAGCCAGGCCCCCCACACAGGCGCAGCACAAGGGAGGCTGGGAAAAGTTGGGGGCGTGGAGAGGAGAGAGGTAAGTGGGACAGAACCCCAGTGTTCTACAATCCTACCTCGTGATCTGCACAGCTCCAAGACCCCAAAGCCTAGCAGTTCCCATCACTGCCCGCTCTCCATCCTGCACCCACCTATGCCTGGAGGCTCAGATTGGCACCCCACCCCACCCTCACCCCTTGCCCTTGCTCTGTGCTCACAGTTTCCAGGTGTCTGGGTGGCCAGAGGTAGCTTCTGGCTGGTCAGCACCAGAGCAGGGTCAAGGAACTGTAAGGATGGAGCCTGGACAAGAGGGAGCCTGTAGGAACAGCAGCCCTAGCAGGTCTGGAAACGTGTGGCAGCCAAAAGGAGTCCTCAGGTCTCTCCTACACTCACACGAGTACACACACACCTACACACACACACAGGACCCGCCCCCTTCTCTCCAGGGAGTTCCCCTCACCTGCTGCCTATCCAGATTTGCAGGGTGGTAGACACACCACACGAAAAGAGGCTGGAGGCCAAGAGCTGCGCAGGGGAGTACGAAAGCTCTCCCGGGGGGAGACTTTGAAGCAGGAGCAGGTGGGAGGCACAGAGCAGAGAAGCCAGGACCAAGATATGCTGCAGGGGGAGGAATGAGAAGGGCGGTCTTCAGAAAAGGGGCGGAAATAGCTATTTCCAGAGGGTTTCTCATGCCACGCCTATTCCCCCCAGCTATCCCTTCAGCCAGCACCAACTCCTGCACCTCTGCTCCTACCTGCAGAGCCAGAAGACAGCTGAGGCTCCAGGGAGGAGGCCCACACTGAGAGGCCCAAGGGTTAGAGGAGGGATTTTGGATAGCAGGCGGCGGCGACAGGGGAACCAGGGCATCCTGGGGGCCCATGGATTGGAGTTGGATGGGATGGGGGGATGATCGGCTCATGCTGCCCTGCTTTCTTCTTCGTCTTGGCTGCCCTGGGCCAGAGTTAAGTAGAGAGTGTAAGAGGTCAGAGTTTGGATGAAGTTAGCTGCCTGGAGTGGGGAGGGGGTGGAGGGGTCAGTGAAGCGGAGCAAAGGGATGAGAGATTTGGGGCAGGACAGGCCCTTTCACCTTTGCCCAGCTCTTGTGCAAATTCCATCACCCATTAACTGGGGAGCCACGTTCTGGACCCCTCCCCCCAAGAATCTCCATCTAGATCCCCTGTTCCACGCTCTGCAAAGCATGGTAAGTGGGCTGGGAAGAAGACTTATAAAATACTCCGGGGAGGTCTTACAGTGTTCCCTCCTCCCCACCAGCATTTGGAAAGATGGCTGTTACCCCAGTTTTCAACCCTTTCAGGGTCCAGCCCCCATGGGGACTGCCTAGGAAGGAAATGCATGGGTAATACCCGTCCACAGTGCATGGCAACAGTGAGCACAACTCCATACAATTTCCTCACCGTAACAGAAAGGAGAAATGAAGGTGATTGGTGATAACAAGTATTTCACATGTGAAAGCTTGGGCCCAGCTAAACAAGAAGGCGATGTCATCCACGGCCCACCCCCTACGTAGAATCACTGTGGATGCAGCAGCTACGATAGCAACTGATACCGCTGCTGTCTCGGCGATCCATGTGCCAAGCAGCGCGGCCATTGGTGACCTGGTGTTCCAAAATAATGAGCCGGTTCTTGGCAAAGTGCTGAGCAAAGCAAAGTCCGGTTTTAATTTACACGTAGGTACATTCCTGGCAAACGGCGTCTTTTTCAAAACGTGCAAAAACGATTTCGTGTTTACGTGTTAAAAAGTTCTAGGTTCAGATAAACAGGCTTTTCATATACGTGATGTCCTGTGGGTCATTCAAAATTTGTCTTGAGAATTCTTCATCATAAGGGAGGGGCCTGAAGCGTTTCAGGTTGCCCAGCTAAATGCCAGTAGCATCCCTTCAAATGTTTGCCTCTGGCAAAAAAATGCCCCATGTTTCCAGAGTGCCCCCTAGGGGGCAGTACTACCAGTCCCAAATACCCTCAGTCCAGGTGCCAGAAAAGCTTTCCTTCTTCCGATGATAACCCGCCTTGGACTTGTCTTAACACCACCAACTATCACCGGGTGCCAGACCAGACTGATAGGATAGAGAGGCATCCTTGGGGCTTGCCAAGGACACTTAACTTTGCCTCTCAGAATCCACAAGGATGGGGCCTCCCCAGAACTTGCGATGGACAGGGCCCACTCAGGCATGGTAGAGTCTCCCATCTGTGCCCCACAGCACCCAAGTCAAGCAGCAGTAGGGGCCCCAGGGTGCTGAGAGCAGGGATGAGTAAGTTTGAAATGGGAGTCTGTAATCATCAAAAACAGGGAAGTTTGTTTTTAAGACTTATTTTAGAAAGAGAGAGCGCACACTTGTGTAGGGGAGGGCAGAGGGAGAGGAAAATCTCAAGCAGATTCCCCACTGAGTGTGGAGCCCAGTGTGGGGCTTGATCTCGTGAGCCTGAGATCATGACCTGAGCTGAAACCAAGAGTCAAACGCCCAACCCACTGAGCCACCCAGGTGACCCTCAAACAGGGAAGTCCTAAAATGGGGCTCCGGGAGAATGAGTTGCAAGATGACGGGCTGAGGAAGTAGAAAGGCTTAGAATCCAGGTATGGGGCAGGGGGTGGGGAGATTCTTCCAGGGCTGCTGCAGAAGAATCCAGGCCATGCAACTTAAATTGTTTATTGAAACCTCAGTTCTACAAAAGCGTGAAAAACCCAGATACAAAGCGGTGGCCAGAGTGGCCTGTGAAGAGAACACCCAGGAGAAAACCGGAAGAGAGGGAAGCCCAGGAGCAAGCTATTAAGAAGAGGTTGGAAGACAAAAGGGAAAGGCTGAAGGTCCCAGCAGTCCCTGGCTCCTTTAGGCTATATCCGGGGGGATGGGTGTGGAGAGGGTTCCCCCTGCCCCCGGCCTTCCCTCGGCAGATCCCACCTCAGCCTTATCCGTCCCTGGCTCTCCTGCTTCAGGGACATCACACAGGCCCCCAGTCAATGTCCCCCCTCTCCCTCACCCCACTTTTACCCTTCCATCCTAGGGAACTCAAATGCAAAAGTCTAGAAGCCAGGAAGGTAGAGAGACAGGGGCTTCTCCTCTGGCTGGCTGTGGTCACCAAGCTGAAGCTTCCCCTGGTACCATCACTGCCCTGGCCAAGCAACCAGCCACTGAGGTCTAGGAGAGTGAGTGACCTTCAGTCTTTCTGCCCCACAACCCCTTAAGCTCCATCACCTAGGAGGACAGGGACCAGCCAAGGACCCAGAGAGGTAGAGAGGATCTAAATCAAGCTTTGCCCCTCCAGGTTCTCAGGGACTCCCAGATCCTCTTACTGTACTCCTTGGAGGCCTGCCTAGCCTGGGAAAATGAAAGACTTGAGACGGGCTAACTCCATAACACTGAAAAGGGAACACTGTTGGGGCTGGGAGAGCAGGGGGGGCATTGGGCTCCAGAGCCAGGGTGGAGCCAGGCCATGGGAGTGGTACCCAGGTTTGGGGGGCCCAGTGGGGACTGTATGGTTGGAGTGGTGGCAGGCGTGGCAGCTTGGGGAGTCTCTCTGGAGCTTCTGACAAAGGGGACAGTTCTGGAGAAGAGTGGGAGGGGCAGGAGGGTCTGGGGGAGGCAATGGTGGAGGAGTCAGTGAGGCCAGGAGACTGCCCCAGAGTGAACGCAGCCCTGGGTCACCTTCTAGGCCACCGGAGACATTAACAGGACATGGCAGGCCCTGTGGCACGGAAGAAGGTATGCAGGGTTCCAAGAGGCACCTGGAGGCCAGTCCAAGGTCTGGGGGGCCTGGTGAGGGGCTGCAGGACAGCCCCAAGGACTGGTGAATTACAGCGACCGAGGCCACCGCCAGGGCCACACTGCTCACGTATGCCATAGCTAACAGGCAGGACAGCTGCGGGAGAGAAGATAAGAAAAGTCAGTGCCCAAACACCCTTCCCCCAAGACCCGCTTCTGCCTTTAACCCACCCACCCTTGTCTGCTCAAGTTAGGGCTCTCTGTCACCATCTACTCTCAAAGCCCATCTCCTGAGGCCTTCGGCATTTGCTCATCCCGCCCTACACACCAGCCCACTCCCAGCCCCTCTCCTTCCCAACCCTCCTCACCTTTGCCAGGCGCTGGCAGAGGGAGCCCAGGGCCAACTGCCAGGCCGGCTGCTCCAGCAGCACACACAGGTCTGTGTAGGTGTACCAGCCCCGCCGCCGCCCCTGCTGCTCAGCCACACTATTGGCGGGGGAGAAAGACAGATGGCATCTACACCTCCCCCGCAGCTGGCCCAGTGGCAGCCTCATTCCCCTAGGGACCCCCCAGGACACACTGGGTAACCTGTTACATGCACAGACTCCTAGGCTACCTGTTGATCCAGGAATTGAGGATGAGACTGAGGTCTGTATTTTAAATAAGCTCCTTCCACCCTTCCAAAGGTGATTACAATGGCTTAGGAACCACTGCCTTGGGCGATTCTCTTTCCTGCCTCCTGCCTCCCCCCAGTTACCCAGACCCTCCTCTCTGTCGACCTCTTATATGTCTAAGCCCCCAAATCCCTTGAGCCCTCTCTCCAACTCTAGAACCTACCAGCTCTCCAGCCAGCTCAGCACCTCAAAGATCTCCCGAGGGTCAGTGTAGAGACGCCAATCCTACGGGCAGGAAGACAAGGGCACCGAGCAAGCTCAGATACAAGCCACAGTCACTTAACAACCAGGACCACCGCACCACCTACAAGCACCGCTCCTGCAGACTTCCCTGTGCCAGATACCGTCCCAAGACCTTTTACATATTAACTCATTTAACACCACATTATCTGATTTCACGGTACACCCTCCATTAAGGGCAAAGAGAGAAAATAATCCTAAGACTGGTCCATGCCCATAGGGAGCTCAGAGTCATGAGGCAGAGAAAGTCTGGATGCAAATAATCAGAACCCAGGGAGATAAGCTGTGACTCAGAGTGTAACATGTAGGGCCTGAGGGAATGGGGGGGCGCGGGGGGGGGGGCTGGGGGAGGCGGCAGCACCTGCTCCATTTCTGGCCTCACCATGCCAGGAACCTCCAGAAGGTGGGGAGGGAAGCCACTAATAAGGAAAAACACAAGGAGAAGAGGCAAAAAGAGAAACAAAGAATCTACAGAACGCTGACAGAGAAAAGCACAGGATGAAAGGAACACAATGAGAGCTCAGAGGAACTGAGCGAGAGACAGAACAGCCACTCACCATGGCACTCAGGAAGCCCCGCTCCAGGGCATTGAGAGTGGGCACGGCCACGCCCCCTGCAGCTCCCCATTCATCGTTGAAGACCTCCTCCTCCTCCCCTTCGTCATAGAGGTACTTACTGGCCACCATCTGCAGAGGGGCCAGAAGCGGTGTCAGAAGAGCTGGCACCCAGCTCCTGGCTCACCAGGGAGATGAAGGGGAGGGGCGTCCTACCATGGAGATGAGGAACAAGTCAGAGGATGACACGTGCTGTAGGTAGTCTGGGTTTCGATGCCGGAGCCGCTCGATGTACACGAGAGCAAGCATCATGGCACACGGGGAGATGCACGCCTCCCTGCGTGGTGGAAAGGGTCACTAATTAACCCCAGGGATCTTTCCGCTCTTAGAACTCTTATGACACTCACCCCTGTGTCTTTACATCTTCTCTTTAGAGATAACTATTTCTCTGTCCCTAGGGCCCAAACATTCTCATCCCGTCCCCCTCAATTTCAGGCTCACCGGGACACATGAGCTACGTATTTCTTCTGGAGTCGGCGAATAGGGCTGGGGGCTGCCTTCTGGAGCAGTTCCACAGCAATGTCTGCAGGAGGCAAAAGAAGGCAGAGTAGCCAAACAACTCCTCCCTTACCACCCTGCCCCCACGCACACCTAGTTCCCGCTGCTATCAGCAGAAAATTCAGATCTCTACGATCTGAGGCCTTAGGGACAGGACCACAGTAACAAAATAGATCAAATTCTCCCATGTTGAGACAAAGGCCCATTCCACATTTGAATTTCAGCTCCTTCCAGCAGAAAGACTTATTTCCAGGTCACGTGAAATTACCTAGATTTGTCTTTTGCCCTGCTCATCTGAGAAAATAAACAGGCCTTGTGAATTCGGGATACCTATATGTATCTCATATACAAATCAAGAGTGATACAAATTCATAAGACAGCAATATTTTCTACTCATCTGGACTGAAAAAAACGTGAAACGGAAAGCGGGTCCTTGTACTAGGTAGCAGTAAATTAGCTATGACCAGTGTAGCTCATGGGGTATGCACCTGCTCATTTTGGTGACGCCTGACAACCCCATCTTCATGCTTCTCCCTTGTCCAATCACGCAACACTAACCTGCCACGGGGCTGGAGAGTTCCTCCAAGCTGCAGTCAGCTTCCCAGTCCCAGCCATAGTAGAGTCTCCTTCGGATCCGAGCACTCAGTTTCTGGTGTCCGGGGAGGAACTGAAAAACGGCAGGTGGCGGAGGGTGAAGGGCAGAGAAGGCTACGGTGGAGATCCTGGCTCCAGCGTGGAAGTGGGGTGTGGGGTAGCAGTCTCACCTCACTGCTAGTGGAGCCCATGCCCCACCCCACCCCGTTCTCCGGATTATTTGCCAATTGCAGCCTATCTACAGTGGGGGGTCCGGGGGGCGGGAATCCTCCGCCACTGACTGCTCCCCAGGAGAGGTCCTCCGAGAACCTCCCGGGCTGGCTAACCCTGCCTCCATTCCTCTACCCCGCGGCTCTCCCTCGGGGCCCAAGGAGCCGGGGCCTCGAGTAAGCAAGGCTTGAGAGGTTGCCCCCTGGCTTCCGGACCGAGCCGTCAGGGGAGATGACGGCCCCGCTCGGGTGCCCAGGGGAGCGCCCGGGGTCCGGGCTCAAGCACCGGGAGGCCGCGGAGGGGGCGGGCCGCGCTCTCACCGTAAAGTCCTGGAAGCCTGTGAGGGAGAAGGTGCCTTCTTCGTCCAGCAGGAGCCCGGCCAGGTCCATCGCGCCGCCACTCGCCGCCCTGCGAAGGTGGAAAGGAACGCGTGGTAAGGGAGCCGCGGAGCCCTCGCCTGCGCGCCGTCCTCCCCAGCGCAGACCGCCGCCTTGGCCAGCGCAGCACCCTGTCCTCGCGCCGGCGGCGGCAGGCGGGGCCGGGCTGGCGGGCGCCTCTTCCTGTTCCGCCCCGGGCGGGGCTCCGGGCCCCGAGATCCGTCTCCCGGTGCGGGCCTCGGGGGCCCGGGGCACTCACCTCACGCAGTGGAGAGAAGACCGGGATGCCAGGCGCGTGCAGCGAGTCTGCCCCGCCGCGCGTCTGCCCGGCGTTTACTAGCCGCGGGGGTGTCGCCGGCGAGTCAGCGCCCGGCACTTCCTGCCACCCGCTGGGCCCAGCCGCCAGAACCGACCGCCACGGAGGAGCCGTGCTCGCCTTCCTCCTGGTCGCCCCGAGCCCGGGCGAGTCCCAGATCTAAGCCCCAGCGTGTCCTCGTCTGGGTAATGGGGACAATTCCCAGGGGACCATGCCACACTGAGGATGAACGAGCCCGGCTGACCTTTTCGTACCAATGTAGATAATTAATGTAAGTAAAACCAAGATGCAGGACGAGTGGCTGCCAAATGTTTTGAAAAAGATAACACAGAGCAATGTACATACATACAAAACATCGGAAAGAATACGGAAAAAACTTAACAGTGGGTGCACTGTGGTCAAGGTGGCAAGGAAACTTTTTGCTGTATACCTTCCTGCCAGTAGTTTGAATTCTAAACCAAATTACGTTCTTTGTGGGGTTACTGCAGAAATTAAATGATCACAAGGGACCACAAAGCGCCTGGTACGTTGTAAGCCTCGATAAATGGTATTAGCATGCCTCCCCAAAATAAACATCTAATCAGGATTCTATTTTTAAACTCACCCCGCAACCCCAATCTCCTGTTTGAGCAAGGGATCGGAAAGAGTTCCGATATGTGCAGGCAGTAAAGTTTACGGAAGGGGATGAAGAGAAAACAACTTTTCTGACTAGACGAAGCTGTTTTTGAGTCGGTCGAGTCACGCGCTGGTGTTTGTTTATCCGCTGAGGGGAGGGAACTGGAAGGACCAGTAAGTCAAGGGCTGAGTAATGGGACGGCCGCCGCCCTTCCCGAGCAGGAGCATTTGGGACACTGGGCATTTGGAAGCCCACTCCCTGCCCTTTCGGTCCGCATCGCACCAGGAATACCAACTCCCTAGCCGCCCTGCCTACACAGGGAGAAGAAAACGGGCTGGCGTGCAGAAACGCGGAGATACAGTCCTTAGGCCCCGCAGAGCACAACAACGCACCAACCGGCCGGGGAATCACGACTCCAGCAGCCACAACACGAACCTGCGCAGAAGCAGGGTCGCTGGTAGCCGCCTGCGCGCAGGCGCGGGCCGCCCTATCCCGGCGGTTAGTGTGCGTCACGTGACGGGCTCGTTGTTCCGCCGTCACGTGACGGGCCTCGGCGGCCTCGGCGGCCTCGGCTGCGCTCTCCGCGGCGTGCGCCCCCTTCCGCCTAACGCGCCCTCGGCGGCGGCCGCGCAGCCCTGGCTCCTCGCGGGCTCGGGCGGCGGCTGCGACGGGGCTATGGCGAGCGGCGGTGGCGGTAGTAACAACGGCGCAGGTGGGGGCCCGGGACTGGGCCTGAGCCTCGGCCTGGGCCTGGGTCTGAGCCTAGGCATGGGGGAGGCCACCGGCGAGGCGGAGGAGGAGGCGGCCACGGCCGAGGCGGTGGGTCGCCTGGCCACGACGCTGTGGCTGCGGCTTCGCGGCTGGGAGGCGGTGCTGGCGGCAGCGCAGCGGCTGCTGGTGTGGGAGAAACCGCTGCACAGCCTGGTCACGGCGGCCGCGCTCAACGGCCTCTTCTGGTAACGGCCGCGGAGGAGGAGGAGGGGGCGGGGCCGGGCAGCGCGGGAGAGCGGGGGCGGGAGGGGCCGCGAGCACCATTCCCGTTCCCGGGGTTGACACTTGCCCCGGGGGAATGACCCCCTTCCCCCGGCTGTTGTCCGTCGGGGTTGCCCCATTCCTTTATCTCGGGTCTCGAGTTAGGCCTGGAGGTTCCCGTTCCCCCATCAGTGGGCGCTTTTCAGCCTTTCGCCATGGATGCGGGAGCCTCTCACCCACTCACCGCCGAGGTGCCTGTTTCTCCCTAAGGTTGCTGTCTTCGTCGTCCCTCCGGCCCTTCTTCCTACTCAGCGTCTCACTTCTGGCCTATTTTCTGCTGGATCTCTGGCAGCCTCGCTTCTTCCCTGACATCTCAGGTGAGTGTTAACTTCATTCACCAAGCCCCGTTGTGCACTTGCTTTGTGCCTGACTCTGCTGGGTGGGTTGAAAGGGGAGGGAAAATGTACAGCAGGCAACCAGCTGCCAGGCACCAGCACTTCCCTAGTTGGGAATTGCCCTCTTCTCAGAATCAGCGTTACGTGAGTGTAGTAGTTAAAAGAGTGTGGACTCTACAGCCACTTTGCCTGGGTTCCGTTGCTTGCTCTGCCATTTGCCGTGCATGTGACCTTGTAAGAGCCGCTCAATTTCTGCTGGTCTCAGTTTTCTTTTTTATGAAACAGGGATGATAAAATTTATTTAGTAAGGACGTGAAAACTGAATGAGTAAATACATGTTAGGTTTATGGTAGAGTTTCACATACCACAGGAATCATAGGAGTGTTAGGTTCTGTTTTGTTGTTGTTATCCGTGTATCTACTAAATAGGTGTTTTGGAGCAATTAGAGGTCAGGCTGTGTGAGTTGCTTGGGATGTAAACATGAATAAGATGTGTTTGAAGGGCGCTCAGTTGGTTAAGCATCTGCCTTCGGCTCAGGTCATGATGCCAGGGTCCTGGGATAGAGTCCCGCATTGGGCTCCCTGCTTGGCAGGGAGTCTGCTTCTCCCTTTGCCTGCTGCTCCCCCTGCTTGTGTTCTCTCTCTTTGTCAGATAAATAAATCTTAAAAAAAAAAAAAAAAAAAAAAAGATGTGTTTGAACAGAGTGAAGTTTGGGACGCCTGGGTGGCTCAGGCGTTGGGCATCTGCCTTCAGCTCAGGTCATGATCCTAGGGTCCTGGGCTGGGGTCTCACATCGGGCTTCTTGCTCAGTGAGGAGCGTGCTTCCCCCTCTGCCTGCCACTCACCCTGCTTGTGCGCTTGATCTCTCTCTCTCTCTCTCTCTCGCAAATCAATAAAAAATCTTTGAAAATAGTGAAGTTTGGAGCGCTTGCCTGGCTCAGTTGGTAGAGCGTGTGACTCTTGATCTTGAGGTTGTAAGTTTGGGCCCCATGTTGAGTGTAGAGATTACTTAAAAATAATAAAATCTCTTAAAAAGAGAAGAAAAAGAGGGAAGTTTAAAGGAGGAGATAGACGTACAAATACAAACAGCAATAACAATGTAATTTTTTCTGCAACTGGCATCTGAAGAAAGTGCTCTGGGAATGCAGAGGAGGGGCAACCATTCCGGCCCCGGGGAGTGTCTCCCAGAGCCCCACCACTCAACTTGTTCCCCTGCTCTCTTTATAGCACCATCTCCAGAGGAGACGCACTCTGACAGGTGAGTGCAGGCCACCTCTTGAAGACAGACACCCAAACCCTGTCTTTGGTGTCAGTGTCAACACAGTACACGGCAGCTTCTGCAGGCACAGACCCCAGCATAGCAAATGGACTGGCAACAAGTTTGGTCCGGGGTTCCTATTTAGGTGTTTGGGTGCCTGCTCCTTTGGGGGCAGAGGTTTGGCAACTCTGGGCTTTGCTTCCCCAAGTTCAGAACAGCCTCCCTTTGGGAGGTGGGATTGTCCGCTTGCTTAGAGTGCAGATCTCATTGGCATTCTCGGAGGGATTTGAGTGCCCAGGAAGCTGGTGTCTGAGGCCTCCAGGGGTCATGTCATGTCTCCCCAGTGAGGGTGCGGGGTCAGGCGCCCGGCCGCACCTGCTGAGTGTGCCCGAGTTGTGCAGATACCTGGCTGAGAGCTGGCTCACCTTCCAGATTCACCTGCAAGAGCTGCTGCAGTACAAGAGGCAGAATCCAGCTCAGGTAACCTCCACGTCATAAAACGGTTTCCTGCACTGTGGGGAAATAGAGGGGGGTGGGAGGCGGGGAGGAGTAATGTGAAATCCCTGGCTGGCTGGCCGGCCACTGGAGAGAGAGGGCTGGTGCCTTTTTGAGGCAACATTCGCCGGGAGTAGCTTGGTACAGGAGTAGTCTCATTTCCGGGAATACGCGTTTGATGTTTTCATACTGCTTCTCGTCAAGGCAGATCAGTTTGAGTTATAGGTGTTTGGTGGTGTCTGGTGTAAGCTTCTTGAATTGCTGGTCTTGGGCATTCTCTTGACTAGGTCGGATCACCACCTCCCTAGAAGGCATACCCCTCCTCTGTCAGCTGAGCAGCAATTTCTTGCCCAGATGAATGGGGCGTGTACTTTTTAGACCCTCTGCTCTTCTCTGCAGTTCTGTGCTCGAGTTTGTTCTGGCTGTGCTGTGCTGGCCGTGCTGGGACACTATGTTCCGGGGATTATGATTTCCTACATCGTCTGTGAGTAGGGTTTAACCCCTGCCTTTTCTGAAGCCCTTTTCTTCTCTTTTACTGGACGGAATCAAAGGGATTGACTGACTCTAAGGGAGGATGGTGCTCTCTCTCTGTTTGGTTATCCATTTACGGAGGTCTCCAGGGGGTGCTGGAGTATTAGTAATAGTACAAGAGTTGGGGCCCCTGGGTGGCTCAGTTGTTAAGCGTCTGCCTTCAGCTCAGGTCATGATCCCAGGGTCCTGGGATCGAGCCCCGCATCGGGCTCCCTGCTCCGCGGGAAGCCTGCTTCTCCCTCTCCCACTCCCTCTGCTTGTGTTCCCTCTTTCGCTGTCTCTCTCTCTGTCAAATAAATAAAATCTTTAAAAAAAAAAATAGTACAAGAGTCATCTGGGGAGGAGAGGAGTAGATGTGGAGCGAGGAGGTTGGTATAGCCTCCAGAAAGCCTTCAGCCTTTTCTCTTTAGGGACCGGTTAAATGGGGGCCCTTAGGAAATAGGCATAGGGAGCTCTGAGTGAACTGTCTAACCCCCTAGTGCTCAGTATCCTGTTGTGGCCCCTGGTGGTTTATCATGAGCTGATCCAGAGGATGTATACTCGCCTGGAACCCCTGCTCATGCAGTTGGACTACAGCATGAAGGCAGAAGCTGACGCCTTGCATCACAAACACGACAAGAAGAGTAAGGGGCTCCCATACCCAAGAGGGGGTTCTGCGAGAAGGGCATTGGTTTATGGCTCATGAAGTGCCCTGGAACTTACTTTCCAGTTCCTTGGCTGTGTTTGTCCCCCACCACTGTCTCTGCTTGGTCACTGACCTGCTGTTCTTATTTTTCTAGAGCGGCAGGGGAAGAACGCACCCCCCGGAGGTGATGAGCCACTGGCGGAGACAGAGAGTGAAAGCGAGGCAGAACTGGCCGGCTTCTCCCCGGTGGTGAGGTCCAGGGGAGATGGGATGTCAAGTAGAAGGCTGGAGGAGAATCTGCTTCATAGTAGTCGCCTCTCAGGGGGGTGGGAGTCACTGGGGGGGGGGGGGGAATGCTTTTGAAAAAATGGTTCTCTCATTTTCTCACCTGTTGTGTTTTCCGGGTTGTCCTGCAGGTGGATGTGAAGAAAACAGCATTGGCTTTGGCCATTACAGACTCAGAGCTGTCAGACGAGGAGGCTTCTATCTTGGAGAGTGGTGGCTTCTCTGTATCCCGGGCCACAACTCCACAGCTAACTGATGTCTCGGAGGGTATGAGAAGCCCTTTGCCCTTCCAATCTTCCTGGTCCTTGTTGTGGATGTTGGCTGTGCTCTCTGGCTGTCGCTCCCATAAATGTTTTTTCTGGGACCCGATGCTCTAATTCGACTTCAAGCTCCTGAAAGACCTTACCATCTAAGGCCTGGTCCAGTATTCCATGTCCTAAGTTCTCATCCTTGAACCGATTGCCTGTTGTGATGGTTTAGAACAGCAGGTCCATCCACCCATGCCTCACCTTTTGTTTCCTGCACAGATTTGGACCAGCAGAGCCTGCCAAGCGAGCCAGAGGAGGCCCTGAGCCGAGAGCTGGGGGAGGGAGAGGAGACAGAGCCGGCCCCTCCTGAAGACCTGCTGGGGCCCTCTCAGGCCCTCTCAAGGCAAGACCTGGACTCGGAGGAGGAGGAGGAAGATGTGGTAGCCAAGGAAACCTTGCTTCGGCTCTCGTCCCCCCTTCACTTTGTGAACACGCACTTCAATGGGGCGGGCTCTCCCGCAGATGGAGCGAAGCTGTCCCCTGGAGGACCAGTGGAGACACTGAGCCTGGAGGCAGGGAGTGGTGACCTCACCACTCCACCGATCACCCTGTCACCCCTACTTTGCCTTGCTGAAAGTGACCCAGTCCCCTCCCTCTCCGTGCTCCCACCTCTTCCCCAGGACTTGCCCCGGCCCCTGCTTGCTCCCGAGGAAGAAGAGGCACTCACCACGGAGGACTTCGAATTGCTGGATCAGGGGGAGCTGGAACAGCTGAATGCTGAGCTGGAGTTGGGGCCAGAGACATCCTCAGAGCCCTCCGATGCTCCGCCCCCTCCCTCCCTAGAGCCCGACACCCTGTCTCTGGTACAGTCAGGCCAAGAGGCTCAGGCTGTGGCAGAGCCATGAGCCATGGGGGAAGGGGTTGCAGGCACAGTAGGGTTTCCTGGCTAGGGGCGCCTCTCGTTCTTCCCTGCTCTAGGGAGAGCTCATGCGTGGGGAAGCTGGCTGTCAGACAGTAGCGAGCTCACCCCCTGCCTGCCTGCCTGCCTGCCGTCCCAGGCCTGGTACAGTGCCCATGCCTGGGATTGGTTTTAAGTTTGTAAATAATTTTACACTTGGGTTAGTGGATGTGAACAGGGCCAGGGAAGTCCTTCCCACAGCCTGCACTCGCCTCCCTGCCTCATCTCCCTTCTCGTTCCACTATGCCTCAAGCCCTGGTGGTGTGTCCCTTTCTCTTTCCTCCTATCCTCAGGGACCTGTGCTGCTTTGTCCTCGTGTCCCACTGGTGGCTTGGTTTGGGCACTTTATCATTCTTCTCTCCTGTCCCATGTTTCCTTCTGCTTTGTTTCCTGGCTGTGTCCTGGCCTTAGCAGCTCAATCCCCACTCTTGGCCAGCAGGCCGTGGCTAAGCTTTCAGGAGGCTCCTGTCTGCGTGGTACAGACTAAACCTTGGGTGGTGGGTCAGGCCAGTGGTGATGTGCTTAGGCCACTGAAGGCCACGTGAGCTCCACGGCACCATTGCCCTCGTTCCTCCCAGGCTTTCCTGCTAAGGGAGGAGAGCAGGAGTCCCACAGCATGTGCTCCAGCACCGTGTCAGTGAGCAGGAGCTGTGTCCTGTTGGGATGAAGGGCTTTCTTACTATCCTAGGAAGGAATAAAGAGACTGCTCTCTGGGGGCTTGGATGGTCCCAGTGTGGTGGGACCCCCTGGTAGGGTCAGGAGGTGGACAGTAACATCTGTGCAGGTGTTGACTGGAAAAATAAAGTGTTGATTGCCTAGAACTGCTGCCTTTCTGCCTGCCTCACTGCAAGATGCCTCCCACACTGCTCTGTCCCTCCTCACCCTCCTGTTCCCCATTCTCTCTCGCTCCTGGCTCTTTATTTACCTGGGTGCGAAACAAGGCCAAAAGCAAGCGTTACCCTAACAGCCCTAACTTGCCCTTAGTCATCTTCCCTGACAGTGTGATTTGTTTAGTGAGATTTAGCATGTGTGAATAAAGTATATGCAGGAGGAAATTGCTTCGTCTTCCCAATCAGTAGAAATTGAGGACCGAAACAATTGTTTACTATGCTGCCTAGAACCTTAATGTTCTCAGAAGTCCTTACTCATCCACATGTTACCAATTAGCTCACTCAGCTGTGATTTATCTATCCTGGGGACCCAAACAAGTAGGGCTTAATGCCCATATCAAAACTGATTTGTGGCCGAGATACACTAAAAAATAGTATCTTACACTAATTGAAGGCTAATATGTGCTCAGCACTCTTCTGATTTATGGTTGGTTGGTTGGTTTAAGATTTTATTTAAGAGTGTGCTGGGGTGGGGGAGCAGAGGGAGGGGCGGGGGAAAGAGTCTCAGGCTGACCTGTGCTGAGTGCGGAGCCTGGCTCGGGGCTCCATCTCACAACCCTGAGATCACGACCTGAGTCGAAACCAAGAGTTGGATGCTTAACCGACTGAGCCACCTGTGTGCCCCAGTGATTTATATTAGCTCCTATTTTTTCCTCATAATCCTGAGATACATACTGTTAGTAACTCCGTTTTACAGATGGGTTAACTTTCCTGAAAGCCACAGTCCTAGTAAATAATGGAAGTCAGGATCCAAACCTAAGCAGTTTGGCTCCAGAGATCGTGCCAGAACAGGAAGCCCCTGTCCATCAAAAGGGCACAAATGGGAAGATGTTCAAGGACATGGGAACCACAGAGAACCAATCTAATATCTCAGCTTCATAGAGTGGACTCGTAGTAGTCCTTGCTCTTTGGGGAACAACATTAGAGAAAGCCCTAACCTTAGCAGAGGGCCTCTTTGTGAGTTCACACCCTCTGCCTTCAGCTGGGAGGGACTACCTTGCAATGCTACCTGACTGGGGTTGACTCATATGCCATGTCTCTCCTAAGTGTGTGGGAATATTTTCCTTCCCATTTACTTCACCTTTGCCTGAGAGACCATCTGTGAGAGCTGATTGACACCCTGTCCTCTGCCTTTAAGGAACATGAACTTTTAAGCATCCAGAGGTCTCAGAAGGGAATAGGAAAACAGTTCTAATCAACAAACAGGAAATGCAAGAAAAATAGAACCAACTAATCAGAAAGACAATGGCTGCCATATGTCTCATCTTTAATCCATTTCCTTCTTAAACTTATAGTCTGAAGATGAAGACAGAAGCCTCAGTTGGATCAAAACATTCACCATAGATTGGAAGTTCCATGGGGGTCAATTCTTTTTTTTTTAAAAGATTTTATTTATTTATTAGAGAGATAGGGAGAGAGGGAACACAAGCAGGGGGAGTGGAAGAGGGAGAAGCAGGCCTCCCGCGGAGCAGGGAGCCCAATGCGGGGCTCGATCCCAGGACCCTGGGATCATGACCTGAGCCGAAGGCAGACGCTTAACGACTGAGCCACCCAGGCGCCCTGAGGGTCAATTCTTGACATTCACCTTAGTCTGATGGTTGCTACATGTTTGTCTACAGTTTTTTTCATTAACAGGTGTCCTGGCTCTTTTCTGCCCCATGATGAAAGGGACAAGAAAGCTTTTCCTATGAGTGAAAGAAAAATGAGCAGAAATGTGAAACCTACAATTTAAGCTAGACAAAAATCACCTGTAGAGTACAGGCTGGGGCAAGAAGAGTCGGTTACATTTACACTGGAGGGAAGGGCCGTGCGCTCCAGTTACCTAGACATTCCAACAGCTAATAGTGTAAGGTGGCTGGTCATAAACTAAATTTTAGGCTGCATTACTGGAAATACCGTTTCTGAAGCAAGGGAGATAATACCTGTATGTAGTGTGCCCTGCACAAGTTAGAATACTGCCAGGGGATGGCTTGCTTTGCTCATGGACAAGTTGACAAATTGCAGTGCGCCCAGGAAAGGATCACCAGAGATGAAGGCTGAACGTGGTCATATGGGGAACTGTGGAGGGAACAGAGAAGGTTCCAAGAAGGGGGAGCTGCGTTGAGTCACATTAGCTGTCTTCAGACTTTGAAGTGTGATCTGTAGGACTTCAGAGGGTAGAAATGAAGTCTTCGAGAAGAATCTGATTAGTAGTAGTGCTGGGCAGAATTTGTTTTTCTGGTCAAGGGATATTGCAAAACAGTACATGTAAATGATCTTTGAAAGTACAATGATCAAGGATTAACAGGTCAAGAACTGTTAATTTCACTGTGGAAGGACAATATATCACTAAATGACTTTGCTTTCAATGGCTGACTTAAGTTTCCTTGGACTTCCTCCCTTAAATGTTGGTGGTCACTGAGTGTCACTGGCTCATTTTGCTTCTCGCTGCCTCGGCAATTTCAGGTGTCCACTCCCATGCTGATGACTTCTACATCTTAGCTCAATTCCTTGCCTGAAACTTCCAACTAGGCATCTCCCCTTGAGCATCCCATGGGTACTTTCTGCTCAGCATACAGAAAACTCTTTCCACTCTGCCGCCTCCCACCCTAAACAGATAGGCTTCTTCTTTATTTTCCATCCTGCTTGCTGGCACCACTGACCATGAAGGCCTACTTCTCTCCCTCATCCCACACCCAGTTACCAATTGCCGCTGATTGAATGTCCTAATTATTTCTTGATTCTGTCACTTGTACCACAGCCCTGATTCACACCCTCCTCATCGCTTACCTGATGCGCTATGACAGTTTCCCTGTCCACACTCTTGTCCCCCACAGAAATTCATGCCCCCAAATGTGGCTAGGTTATTTTAAAATACAAATTTGATGACCTTTCTGCTATTTCATATTGATCAAAGGCTCTCCTTCTCTACAAGCTTTCATTCAAGCTCCCTGATATGGTTAAAAAACCTCTGAGATTTGCCCCTTCCCTGTCTTCCCCTTTTTTTTTTTTTTTTTTTTTTTTTGGTGGTGGTGGTGGTGGTAAAACAAGAAGGGAATTTATTTCAGAACGCCTGGGTGGCTCAGTCAGTTAAGCGTCTGCCTTCGGCTCAGGTCATGATCCCGGGGTCCTGGGATCGAGCCCTTGCTTTTTACACTCAGCATCAAACCCCAAACAGCTCTGCTCGGCTGCACTGCCGTCCCCCACCCCTGCTCTACACACAGACACACACCGTATCCCTCTGTTTGGCAAACAGTTCCCTCGTCTCTTAACATGTACTTTAGGCCACACTCCATCTACAAAGACTCCCCTGATGTCTCAGGTCACCTGCCCCCCGTATCAGACCTGCTCTCCTAGTGTTCCCTCAGTGTAATTCTATTTTTCCGTGCATCCCATAGAATCTTCATGTTCTCTATACAAGTGTGGTATAGGGGATACTAGGTATACGTGTATATGTATAACTTCCACTATAATGCTTAGTCTTGAAGGCGGGGACTATATTTTAGTCACCTGAATATTCCCAGAGCCTAGCACAGTGCCTGGCACATAGTAGATACTCAATAAACGTCTGTTAAACTAAACTAAACCAGTGTTTGAACTTTGGAAGCAGCCAAAGTAAATCGATTGTGGTAATTGGTACATACCCATTGCCAGTAGGTATCTTACCTCTGTCTGTTACTGTTCTAGAGTGGATGATAGCTAAGTTAAAGGAACCTGCACATAGACTTGTGAGCTCTTTGTTCCTGGACTAGGCCAAAGGCAATGGAAATGATCTAGATTTGGAGCTAAAGGATTTTCTGAGTTTAAAGTAAGATTGCCCAACCCACTTAATCTTCTGTGAATGTATCAAGGTATCATGTTATTTCAAAAACAATTTTGACCAAACTATTTAGACTCAACTAAATATTTTGATCAAAAATCCAATTATATATATTAATGCTTGCTTGAAAAAAATGTGACTCTGCAGAAATGGGATAAAGTTAATAAGAAATCTCAGGGTTTTTTTTTTTCTTTTTAAGTATGAAAAGTGAGTTGACTCCCCTTCAAAAATGTCCATTTCATAAAAGATAATGAAAAACGGAGGAACTATTCAAGATTAAAAAGGAGACCAAAGAGAAATGACAATAAATGCAAGGGATGATCTTGGATGGAATCCTAGGTGGGAGAAAAAAGTTACTATAAACACTATTGGGACAACTGGTAAAATTTGAATATGGATTGTACATAAGATAAAAGATTGCATCAAGATCAAACTTCTTGAAATTCACTTTGTTTATATAAGAGAATATCCTTATTTTTAGGTTAGACATTCTAAAGATTTTAGAGGTGAAGGGTTATTTTCTCTGCAAGTTATATCAAATGATTTAGAAATGTAAATAAATGAGTATGTGAATGTATGGTGTGTGTGTGTGTGAAGAGAGAGAGAGGGAATGATAAAGCAAATGTGGCACAATGTCAGAAGAAATACATATGATAAATATAACACATAGAAGTTTGTTATTCAGTGGATAAATGTGTATTCAGACAACTAGATAGAATGAACAAACTATAACTAGGCACAAAAATATGTATGGATCTCATAAATAAAATATTGAGTAAAAGAAACTAGACACAAAAAGTATATGATATATGGGGCACCTGGGTGGCACAGTTGGTTGAATGTCCGACCCTTGGTTTTGACTCAGGTCCTGATCTCAGGGTTGTGGGATCAAGCCCTGTGCTGGGATCCACACTCAGTGAGGAGTCTGCTTGAGAGTCTCTCTCCCTCTCCCTCTGCCCCTCCCACTCATGCTCTCTCTCTCTCTCAAATAAATAAATGTCTTGAAAAAAAATATATGATGTATGATTCTATTTATATAAAGTACATTTATATTGTTAGAAGTCAAGATAGTGGTGGGGCGCCTGGGTGGCTCAGTGGGTTAAGCATCTGCCTTTGGCTCAGCTCATGATCCCCAGGGTCCTGGGATCGAGCCCCACATAGGGCTCCCTGCTCAGAGGGGAGTCTGTTTCTCCTTCTGCCTGCTGCTAGCCCTGCTTGTGTTCTCTCTCTCTCTGTCAAAAAAATATATAAAATCTTAAAAAAAAAAAAAAAGAAGTCAAGATAGTGGCTACCTTTGAGGGTGGGGGAGTAGCAATTGGAGGGGCCTTCTTGAGGGTGGTACTATCTTATTTCCTGATCATGGGAGTGT